CTTCAAAAAAAATCATAAAATAGCAATTAAATTCGTAAAAAAAGATAACTGCGAGTTTTAATATTTTTCAAGAAACTATTTTACTCTCCTTTGTTTTACTTAGGCTTAAGATTTGTCTCACAAAATTTTACTACTTTTCAATTTCAAAGCTAACTTTTGCCCGAAATTATGAACAATTTATCACCTACCGTAACATTGAATTTTTCAGCCCATTCGAATAATTTTGCATCAAATTGTGGTCGGGTCACGTCCTTGTCCTAAAATTGTTTTGCTTAATTGTATTTCAAAACAGTAAAAAAATACTCACAGCAAAAATTGTCATAAACTCTTCTTTTCCCGTAGAATCTACTTCTTTCAAAAATGGTATCTTTGGCAGCTGATGTTGTGTTTGGTTCTGAAAATTGTGCATTTGCGGTGTATAAAATGAGAAAAACTATGAAAATTCTTACCCTAGGCGATGGATGCGTAACCGATAAGCACGCAAGACTCGCTAATAGTATACAAATCATTTCCTTGTATCTCTCTAAAACGGAAAGTAATTTGAAAATTTCAGCAAAGTCTAGTTAATTAAGATTTTTAAATTTATCGTAACCGCTATTGAGCTGTTCCCGATAGGTGTAAATAAAATCTATTTATTGATGCATTAAAATACTTAGATAATAATCAAAGAATTTGGTGTGCGGACCCGGATAATTCTGCTAAGATTCCAGATAATTTCCAAAAATTCCAGATTTTTTAAGGGTAGTATATCAGAAAGTTTTCGATAGAACAAAAATGAAATACAAATGCATAGAATTAAGATCCCAGCAGAACACCCAAGAATGCCAATGGATCCTACTCGTTATCTCATTTATATAGCCATTATTGTATGACCCACCCATCCCTTTATCCCTGACCTCTTGAGCCTCATTACACCTCAGCTATGCTGATAGAATCAGGACATCCCACATGAGGTCAAGAATAATTATTAAGGAATGCAGCAAGGATTATATGATTTTATCAAAACACTAAAAGTTTTTAAGAATATA